AAGTGCCTGCTGCTAAAATGAAAGAATGAAATAGAATTTAGAGCCTCCTAACATAGTAGACAAAATGTCTAGGATGCAGTGAAAAAAATCACCTGTCATTCCAAGAACCATGAAAATCACAACTTGAGCAAAAAAAGATAATGAACTGACACCAACACCAGATGAATCAGATGGTGGAGTCATCTGACAAGGATTTTAAAGCAGCTGTCATAAAAATGCTTCAGCAATCACTTACAAAGTCTCTTGAAACAAATGAAAAAATAAAAAATCTCAGCAGAGAAATGGAAGTTATAAAAGGAACCAAGAAGGAATTATACAATTGAAAAAATACAGTAACAGAAATAAAAACTCACTGAATGGGTGCAGTAATAGAGTAGAGATGACAGAGGATAGAGCCGGGGAGTTTACCAATTGACAGAATGATCTGTGACCAGGGCAAGTCAATAGAATTTACCCAACCTGGATAGCAGAGAGAATAAACTCCAAGTAGGACAGAACCAAGGAAATCCACATGAAGATACCTTACAGTTAATGATCTGAAAGTTAAAGAAGAAAAAGATCTTGAAAGATGCTAGAGAGAAACCGTGAACTAACATCAGTTTGACATCAGATCTCTCATCTGAAATCATGGAGGCCAGAGAGAAGTGGCACATGTTCAAGTGTTGAAAGAAAATACCTGTCAATCATGATTTCTGTGTCTGGCAAAACTATCCTCCAAAATGAAGATTAACTAAACACATTATCAGATTAAAGAAAACTGAGTCTTTTTTAGCAAGTCTGCCTTAAAGATAGTTAAAGGAAGCTATTCAAACCTAATGAAGTGATGAAAGAAAGATTCTTAAAGCATGAGAAAGGAAGGTAGAGTGATGAAAAGAGCAAAAATATGAGTACATATAGTAGCTGATCATTTTCCTCATTTTTATAATCATATTTGATGATTGAAGCAGAATACTTTTAAACATTTTTATTTATTTTTATTTGGCTACACTGGGTCTTAGTTGCAGCAGGTGGGATCTTCAGTCTTCATTGCAGCATACAGAACCTTTAGTTGAGGCATGCAGACTCTTAGTTGCAGCATGTGGGATCTAGTTCCCTGACCAGGGATCGAACCTGGGCCCCCTGCACTGGGAGCTTGGAGTCTTAGCCACTGGACCACCAGGGAAGTCCTGAAACAAAAATTTTAACACCATGTGATACTCAGGACAATGATATATAATTTAAAAGAGAAAATTAAAGTGATCTGAATGGAAGTGATGTTTCCACACTTCACTTGAAGCTGGTAAAATTTTTTTACTAGTAGACTTGATGGGTCATGTATGTATAGTTTTATACTCGGAACAACCACTACAAACACCATCTCAGTGAAAGTCACTCAGTTGTGTCCAACTCTTAACGACCCCATGGACTGTAGCCCATCAGGCTCCTCTGTCCGTGGGATTCTCCAGGAAGGAATACTGGAGTGGGTTGCCATTTCCTTCTCCAGGGGATCTTCCCGACCCAGGAATTGAACCCGAGTCTCCTGCGCTGCAGGCAGATTCTTTACAGACTGAGCGATGATGGAAGAGCTATGAGGAAAGCCCACAAACACTATACATAAAGATAAAATCAAAACAAAAAATAAAGATGGAATCCTGAAAATGTTTAAGAAACCTGCAGGAAATCAGAAGAATAACAGGAGTGAGAATCAGGGAATAAGCAGGAAACAAATAATAAAATGGTAGGCTATTTTAGTGCATAACTAATTACTTCAAATGTAAATATTCTAAATCTGTCAATCAAATGATAAAGATTGGCAGAGTGGATTTAAAAAATGACCCAAATATAGGATGTTTACAGAAAACTTACATCAAATTCAATGACATAGGTAGGTTGAGTAAAATGGTGAGTTAGTCAGTAGAAGCTAGTTGACATATAAGGAATATACCACCCAGCAATAGCAGAATATGCATTTCTTCCAAGTGCCTATGGAACACTCACCAAGATAGACCATGTTCTAAGCCATAGAACAAACCTCAGCAGATTTAAAAGTGTTAAAATCATACACAGTGTGTTTTGTGATCGTAATGGAATCAAACTAGAAATCAATAATAAAAACAAAAGGAAAATCTCTATAATGTGGAAATTAAACAGCACATTTCTAAATAAGCCTTGGGTCAAAGAGGAAGTCTCAAAGGAAATGAAAAAATGTGTAGAACTGAATGATAGTAAAAAAAATTGTAAATGATGCAGCTCAGGCAGTGCTCAGAGAGAAATTTCCAGCAATGTATGCTTATGTTAGAAATGAGGAAAGATGTCAAATCAGAAACCAATGAAAATCTAAGTAAGTGTAAGTAAAAATCTAAATGTAAATCTAAATAAATGTTCATGGATTGGAAGACTCAATGGAGTAAAACATCAAATCGATGTATGGGTTTAATGCAATTCCTATTAAAGTCCCAGGAAGGTTTTTGTAGAAGTAGACAGTTTATTACAAAATTTATAAGGAAAGGCATGGGAATGTAAAATAGCTTGAACAGTATTGTGGAAGAATAAAATGGGAGGAGTCATACATCCTGATATTACAGCTTACTGATTGCTGCAGTAATCAAGAACATATGGTATTAGTAGAGGGATGGACATATAGGTCAATAGAACAGAATGGAGCTCCCCAAAATAAACTCACAAATAATGCTTAACTGATTTTTTACAGAGGTTCAAAAGCAATTCCTTGGAGAAAGGATAACCTTTCCAACTAATGGTGCTACGGCAACCAGCACCATCCATAGGCAAAAAACCACAGGCAAAGAAACCTCTGCCACCAAACCACGTGCACGAAAGTACACACACACACACATTTTGAGTTAAATAGATCAAGACCTAAAATCTAAAGTATGAAACTATAAAACTCAAAGAAAATAGTTTTAAAGAAAAATGTGCCGTCCTCCTCACATGTGTCCATCCCTTTATCCTTTTTGCCCTTCAGTGTTCAGTTTGGATAGCTCACCTCTGAGGAGTTCTCGCTGGTCCTGGAAGCTGGGCTGATCACCTGTCCCAGAGGCTCCAGTAACAGCATGCTGGACAGTTGTCTTTTCTCTGCTTGCCCAACATCTTAGTCTTTTCATATTTGGGAAATTTCTCATTAAATGGGCTTTGGTTGGTATGAGGGACCACTGCCTACTATAAAAGCTAAGGATGACAGATACTGTTTCCTGGTACCATGTCCTAGTAACTTGAGTATAAAAGTGTCATATAGGATAGTCATTCTTTTCAGCCGGAGACTTTGAATATGGGGTGAGTGAAAGAAAGGAACTGGGACATGGAGAATTCATTCTTGTGCTGGTGGCAGCAGCCATCTGCAGTTCAGGGGTGGTGCTGCTGATGGTATCAGGAGAGGGGGCATGGTGTCTATAGTGTATAACGTCTGGGGGATCGAGTGGTGGTCCTGCTGCTGGCTTTCCTTCATTATTGCCTTTGTAATGGATCATTGAGCTGTGAGATCCTTTCAATAAATTCCTTTTTTTCTTTAGCTAGACTCCATTTCTATTGCTTGCAGAAGAATCTTAACTGATTTAATCAGATTATCATAATAGTCTTGCACATTTTTCTTGCTTACTTGCCATTTCCTCCAACTAGCCCCTCCATGGGTAGGGGCTCTGTCTTATTAGTCATTGTACATTCAACACACAGTATACTTGAAGTACATTAACTGATTGGTAAATAATGAATGAAACACGCAGGTCTTCAACTTTGTTTCTCCATTGCCGTAATATTTAGTGGTAATTATTCTGTAACTTTTGCATATGGTGGACATTTTAGTTTTCAGTGCTGCTTTGGAAGATATGAATATTTTGTTTGCGTTCTTGAATATTTTCTTGGGAACTTGGAAGAGCGTTTGTAGAAACAGTTATCCTGAACAGCATTTTCCCTTCAGTCCTTTTTTTTGTTTTTTGTTTTTTTTAAGTGAAAGGGCTAAGTGAAATGGACAGGAGAACCTCTTTTATTAGGATAAAAAATAAGACTCTTTGGTCAACTGACATAGCAACAAGCTGGTAGATTTTATGTGGGCAGCGTTGTAATATCATTACACCGATATGTAATGTACACTGATCCATATGTATGAAGGCTTGCCAGCTGTGTTTCCTCGTTTGTTGTTCCTCTTGTTAATTCCGTAGTATTTCAGTCACTTAGCTCAAAATCTCAGTTATCTTGGACAACTTCCTCTGTTTGTCCCTCTAATTGGGACCTCTTAAGTTCCCTTTGCCTCTCTTCCACCAATGTTAGAGCAAAGTCACCAGGTCCTTTCTTGCATGACCTCCTTACAGGTTTCACTTTTTACTGAACCAAGCCCGTCTAACACAGAGCTCCTGGGTGGATCTTTCTAATGGTTACCACAGGAAGCGCCATGATATCTGGTGGTCCCAACCCTGAGTTGATCTGCAGTATTTCTTCAAGTTACCATTCTTACAGTGGTTTTACCAATCACATTGTGTTTTTTTCTGGAATAATCTATTTCTTTGTATACATGCAGCTTGTCCCCTCAACAGTCTCAGCTCCCCTCTGTGTTCAACTTTTACTGTTGGGTTGACATAGAATGTGCTCCAGGTTTCATTCCCTTACTCACCCTCCTTTATTCAATATGGAGATAACTCTTTCAGGTGAATGTCCTTCCCCCTTTTCTGGGAGCCTTATTTCTCCTTTGGCATTATATATTATTGTACTAATATTTGAGGCAGGTGAATGGATTTGAAAATGAAAGTATCCATGGTCCTGCCTGTGGAGCTTTCAAAATTAATGAATCATAGGTTTATCTCATTAGCGTTTGGAAAACCCGGAGCACTATCAAAACCCAAACACCATCAAAGCAATCTAATGTTATAATGTTGGTTTTCTGCTTCATGCAGATACTGGTAGGGGTATTTATACTCCTGAAACACTTGGTTTCTTCTTTAAAATGATGCCCTGGTATTTTGTTTCCTTGCTTTGAGGATCTTTTTCAAATTATTTGTTTTTTGTGTTCACAGTCCATGCTCCGAGGGAGAGGAGGTTGCTATAAGCATACGTTCTATGGCATTGAGAGCCATCGTTGCATGGAAACTACCCCGAGCTTGGCGTGCGCGAATAAATGCGTCTTCTGCTGGCGGTAAGTAAAAATGAATGGCCATGGTGATCAAATGTGTAATGTTGTGCTGAGGCTGAAAAATCCTAGGAGTTTATTATGCTCTCTGTTAACCTGTTCTTTCCTATTCTGATAGTGGTCTCATTAGCTATTCAGTGGTGTAGATTGATTTAGACTGAAAATCTCTACTTTCTCTAACTCACTATATCTGTTTATGTAGCTAATTCAATTGATTGTATTTTAGGTTCTCATTATTTCATCCTTTTTTTAAAAAAAAGTTCCACTGAATCATAAAAGTACTCTAGACTTACATAGAAAATTTTAAAAACCATTAGAAGTTATAAAGAAAAGCAACAATTCAAGCATCCAGGGAAAACACTTTTAATGCTTTGTAGTATTTGCTTTCTGGTGTTTTTTTTTTCTCCCAGAGTCTTTTGTTTTTAAAAATATAGCTGAGAGCATTTTCTACTTTGTTTTATATCCTGCTTTTATTTTTTAAGTAAAAGACTCTTTCTCTGTCATTAGAATTTTATATACATAAGCTTTTTATTTTGAAACAATTTTAGCTTACAGAAGATTTCCAAAGAAATTTTCCAACTTCTGTTAATGTTCAGACCTTATGTAACCATGGAGCAACTATCAAAATCAAGAAATTAACATTGATGCAGTATTATTAATGAAATTGGAAACTCAGTTTCATTGGTTTTCCCACTAGATTCAGTTCAGGGTCCTACATCAAATTTAGGTCTTAGGTGTCATGTCTCTCTAGCTGTCTACAGTTCTTTAGTCTTTCCTTGTCTATCGTGACCTTGACACTTTTGAAGAGTCTTAGTTAGGTATATTTGGATTTTGGGACAAAAACCCATAGAAGTGATGTAACCTCTCAGCATATCATATTAGGGAGTACTTCTGACTTTAATTATGGATATATTTTGAACAAAAATAGAGTGAATAGTATAATGAATCTCTATGTACGTTTGTTAACACATTTCCAGTCATGTTCCATTTACTTACCCTGGTTCTCACTATTTCAATGCAAATCTCAGCTATTATTGTTTTATCTTATACCTACTTTGATTGACAGATAATATTTTTAAAAAAGGCCTAAAAAAAAGAATCTAGTATCATCATCCCATCATAAGTTCTTCTACATGGTTTCCCTTTTCTAGTTATCTAGGGATATAGTAAAAAAACAAAAACTGAAAAATATATTTTCAGAAATTCTGTTAGGTCATTGGTTCTCAACTGGGGCAAAGTTTCTATTTTTTCATCCCAGGGGGAAACTTAGGGCATTTGACTGTGTCTGGAGACATTTTGTTGTAACGGAGGGAGGTGCTACTGGTGTCTCGTGGGTAGGGGCCAGGGATGCTCTTACACACCCTGTAACACACAGGACAGCCCTCCACAGCAGAGTCATGGAGTTCAAACTGTCGGTTGTGCTGAGGTTGAAAAGTTCTGTGTGTAGTGGTCCAGGGATGTGTAGCATAAGAGCTTCACAACAGTATATTTGCTATTTCTATTATATTTTTTGGCTGCTGTTGGCATAAATTTTACTCTTATATAAGCTGTAAACACAGTATATCAGTACTCTGTTTTAGTTGTACTGTCAGTTGTTTTTAGAGTAATTAAAAGGAAAAATAAACTATTTTCCCATATTTTTTTCTTTTTTCAGCACTCATCATTTCTTTGAGTAATCTAAGTTACTATCTGGTGTCTATTTCTTTTGCCTGAATGATTCCCTTTAATATATTCTGTAGTATAGGCTTGCCAACAAGGAAAATTTTCAGATTTTTGTCTGCAAAAGTCTTTCTTACTCCATTTTTGGAAAGATACTTGCACTGGGTATAGAATTCTGAGTTGACAAGTTTATTTCCTTTAAGCATTCTTTCAGGTGTCATTATAGTTTCATCTGGCTTACTTGTTTTCTGATGAGTTGTCAGAAGTAATATCAATCTGTGTCCTTAAGTAATGTGTCCTTTTTCTCTTACTTAAAGATTTTCTGATTTTCTTTTCTTTTCATTAGCTTAGATACTGTATTTTTACACTGTCTTCAAATATTCTGGTTGTTCTGCAAACTTCTTGGATCTGTGGTTAATTGTTTCTCATTAGCTTTGGGAAATTGTTGGCCATAATTTTTCTACATCTTTTTCTACTTTATTTTGTGTTTTCCTTCTGGGATTTTAATTATTGTACTTTGGCTCTGGGATTCCAATTATGTATATTTTGGATCTTTTGATAATTGTCCCACAGCTCTTGGATGCTGTGTGTTTTTTTTTCCCCACTTTAAATTTTATGTGTGTTTTAGTTGGCTTATTTTTCCTCTCCAAGTTTTTTTTTTTTTTACTCTTTCCTTAGCTGTTGTAGTTTACTGTTGAGCCTGTCGAAGTCCTATTTTTTTCATATTTAGTATTTCTATTTGATTAGAATTTTCATCTCTGTGCCGAATTTACCCATTTGGTCTTGCATGTTGTTTACCTCTTTCTATTAGGGCTTGTAACATATGGTAATCATAGTTCTAAAAATACAACCTGTCAGATTCTTTCACCCCTTGTGTCAGAAGAGTTTGGTTTTGTTGATTGCTTTGTCTGTTGGAAATGTGTTGTTTTCTTGCTTTTTTGTATGCCTCTTATTTTTTTTTTTTTGAAGTCCAACATTGTTAGAGACTGAGATGAATGTTTTTTGTGTATGGAAATTGGCACCCCTTTCCTTTCTGGTGTCCTTTAGAGATACCTTGCATGTTGCCTGGGGTTTGCTGGAGGTTTTTCCCTCTATATCTGATCCATCCTAAGGTTTAGGTCTTCCATTGCCTCTCAGAGAGAGTCTTGAAACAATATTGTACTGGTGGTCATTGCTGGATGCTTGTTAGCCTGGTGGTATGTGGCTGGGAGAGAGGGGTACATGTTTTGTATTAATATGATTAAGCCTCAGTCTTGGCCAAGCATTTCCCTTGTCTATCTGTCTGTCTCTCCTAGATGTCATGACTCAAAATAAGTTGTAAAATATAGCTATAGATAGCTCAGCTTTTAGGAGAAAACCATCTTGGATTTTATAATTATAGGGACTCCCGCATAGAGGGTGACTAGCTGAGATTTAACAGAGTTCTAAAGAACTTTTGCCTCTTTTTTTTCTAGGCACCACACCAATCCAGTGGGTACTGAATGGCGGTGGAAGATGGACCAGCCTGAAATGATCTTGAAGGAAGCCATTGAAAACCATCAGAACATGATCAAGCAGTTTAAAGGTATTTATCTTCCCTCTACAAAGGAATGCTAATAGCCTGAATTAAATTGGCAGAGGAATTGCCTCCTTTGGCAGAATGTTGTCCCTGCTGGCAAATTCTCCTGTAGGAAATCGAAAACTTTGTAGGAATACTATATATGCTTTGGCCTTTGTAGTTTTCACTGATAACTGTATATCGTATAATGGGAGAACTAAAAAATTAATTCGAAGCTCAGCTACTTTTAATACAGTGCACTCAGCTTGTAAATTTTGGCTGGGAATGTTATCATCATTCCTTCTAAAAACTTTTGCTGTTGTTCTGTGTTGGATACAAAGCAACCTTGTGATTCGACTGATAATTGTACATCATTCAACTGATAAGTAATACCAGTTAGATAGTATTAGGAAGGCATTTTTGAATAAATGCTGTACAAAAAAAAGAGGGTTAATTTTAATCAGATTTCCTCCACATGATCCACAGTGATGTATAGAATTCTGCTACTCAGTTTCTAGAATTTCCTGATCTAGCTGTGTCTCATAGTTCAAGGTTTTTGACTCTACTGGAGATGGCTGGTTCTTAAGCTTTAGTGTGCATCAGAATTGATCATTAAAATAGAGATTCTCGATCTCCTTCCCCACGGATTGATTCAGAAAGTCTGAGGGAGGGAGCTAGAATGTACATCACTTACACATTTTCTGGTAACCCTGTTGTTAAACTGGGAACTATTCTTTGAGACCCCCTCACTGTAGATAGATGTGGAGGACTTGTATTGGGTTGGCCAAAAAGTTCTTTGGGCTTTCCCATAGCAGCATAAGGAAAAACCTGAACAAATTTTTTGGCCAACCCAATAAAAGAATGGCTTTTTAAAGACAATTGCAGGTGATCGACTGAAATGTGTTAGGTTCCCTGTTAAATGTGCATGCCTCTGTCTCCACCCACCACTTGTCTGTCCTGTTTCCTTTATTCTCCTTTCCTTTCATATACAACAAAAGTGAATTCCAACCAAGGTGGGTTTGGCATCAGCACTCTTGCATCGTAAATGGGAGTCTTTATAAACCCCAGTAATTAGCATTTTGACGATCAGATAGTTCTTTCATGCAGAGAAGTTGGTTCTGCCAGATCACTGCTTCTTAAGATCACAGTGTTTCTGATGTTTTTCTTCCACCAAGCAGTTCTCCAGGTCTCAGTAGACAGTGCCTGGGTGTCTGACAAATGTAATTCAGTCCTGGCACAGTCTGGAGATAATATTAGACCCACAGGTTAGGGGTTCAGTCCTGTGTGCCCCACTTCAGATGCCAGTGGAAAGCCTGGGATGTTACCTGTGTTTCGGATCGACTGTCTGTAAATCAGAAGTTCCCACGACCTCCTCAGATTCTGTTAGTTTATTAGAGTGGCTCGCAGAACAGAGAACCATCTACTTATGTTTACCAGTTTGCTATAAAGGATATTATAGAGACCACAGGTGAACAGCCAGATGGAGAAGTATAGGGTCGGTCTGGGAGGGTCCTGAGGCCAGGAGCTTCTGTCCCCATGGAACTGGGGTGCACCACCCTCCTAGCACATGGATACATTCACCAACCCAGAAGCTCATCAAATCTTTTTCAAGAGTTTTTATAGAGCTTAATATGTCAGTCCCCCTTCCCCTTCTCACCGGTCCATGGGTGTGATTAAAAATTCTAATCCTTTGAACACTTGGTCTTTATGGTGACCAGCCCCATCCTGAGGCTGTTTAGGAGTCCTGCCCTCTGTCACCCCATTTGCACAAATGTCCTTAGGTGTACTTAAAAGGGGCTCCTTATTTATTTTTTGGCTGTGCTGCCTGACATTTGGGATCTTAGTTCCCCGGCCAGGTGTCGTGTCCCCTGCGGCTGAAGCACGGAGTCTTAACCCCAGACCGAGAGGGAAGTTCCCAAAGGGGTCCTTCTGAATGCAAAAGGTACTCCCTCTGCTCAGAAAATCCCAGGGGTTATAGGAGCTTTGTGCCAGGAACCAGAGCAAAGACCAAATCTATTTCTCATTTTTTACCATGGTATTTCTTAGTACTATTCTGACTTCCTAGGAGAAATTGGGAAAGTAGTGCAAATAGTGATGCAAGAGCAATAATAATTTATAAAAGTAATTTATAAATTTATATTACTCTTTATGAGTTTTCTAAGGAAAATTGCCCTATACATATATGTGTGCATATGTATGTGCCAACTTGTACATCTGCAGAGATGCTAATAAATATTTTAATATTTCATCTTGGTTTTTAGTCTCAAGAATTTTTTTGGGGGGAAACAAGTTATTTTCTCTTATTTGGAAAAAGCAGTGTCTCTTACCAGCCTTTTGGAAAATTAAATGAAACCATGTAGTAAAAAACCAGTAAATCTCTACATCAAGAATTTACTAGCTTTTCTTAGACGCTTTGTTGATTTAGTTAATATTATCGATTGTTGATCTTCAAATAAACCTTTAAGCCTTTTAAGTTAATGTCAAGGCAAAGTCTTACTTTTATTTGGATACTTAGTTACTAGTCAGAGTTCTTCAGAGAAACAGAGTCATCAGGATGCTGTGTGGGTGTGTTTAGAGGAAGAGAGAGAGAGATTGATAGAGTGAGATTGGCTTAAAGAATTGGATCATGGAATTGTACAGGCTTGGTCAATCAAAAAGATAAAAATAATCTGATGGGATAGACCAGCAGGCTGGAGATTTAAGGAAGCATTTGCAGTTCAAATCCAGAGGCAGTCTGCTTGCAGAATTCCTTCTTGCTTGGGGGCTGTCATCCTTTCTTCTTTAAGGCTTTCAGTTGATTTGATGAGGCTCATCTGCATTAGAAAGGGCAGTCTGCTTTACCCAAAGTCCATTGACCTAAATGTTAATATCAACCAGAAGACATCTTAACCATCTAACATCCAGAATAATGTTTGACCAAACTGGGCACCATGGCCCAGCCAGTAGTTGACACGTAAAGTTAGCCATCCTAGATAGTCATATCAGAAGCAGGCAAACACCAGTAATTTTACCTTTTTAGTGTAATCAGTATGTTTTTATTTGGTGCTTAAAGAAGCAGTTGAATCCTTAAATAATGGGGTAATGGCCAAGGATGTGTGTTTCATGGATATCTAGGAAGCTCCCTGAATAAATTGTGTGCCAGGCATTTTGTATGGGTGGAAGCAGCCCCGAGGAGTAGACATGCATTTTTCCATCCTGAGATGTCCTTGATACAGAGTGACAACCTGAGTTTTGATAGTGATTTTTCTGACAGGAGCATTTTTGTAAATGTACTTTAAATGGAAATAAGAGATGAATAAATCATGAGGCCGCCTTTCTTCACGTTAATAACATGTGTTAGGTGAGCTTGGTGAGCACGTAGTCTTTGTTGTCTGCCTAGCTTGTTGGAGGGTTTGTCCTGTGCAGAAAGGTGTCCCTGGTTAGTAACCTTGTGCTTGCTTTAATCAGTAGGCCTCTCAGACGGTTTGTCTTCAGGTACCTGTGGCATAAGAGACAAAAGCGTTTTAAAGTATATATATTGTCTTGCAGGGGAAGGACAGATACAGGATTGTAGGGAGAAAGAACAGAGCTTGTCTGTGAATAAGTGAATCCTGAGTCAGGGTGAGAATGCCCAAGAGGGTGGGGGTGACCCCTGAAATACAGCAGCTGCCATTCATTCACCCTTAAAAACAGCTTTTATAGAGTATCTACCTTGCCCTTGTAATTCTCACAAAGGATGCTTTTTGCATACCTTAATTAATTGCCTTGACAAATGTTACCATGTCAGCAAAACATCTCTTTATTTAATCAACAGTAAATTTTCTTGAAAGGTTTTCAAATTGGAACTGGTACTTGTACACTGCACTCTTCAGAATGCTGAAAACAGTTTTTCTGTACAGTAGTAGAAAACAAGTGTATTTTTGAAGGTGTGGTGGGCACATGGGCACAGGTCTGCACATGGGCTTAAAGGAGCTCTGATTCATTATATTTTCACTAAGAATGAGAACTCCCTTAGTTTCTAGTTTTTTTAGATGGTGGTGACTGTTAATGCTTCTTACTTTGTTCTGGGCTTAATCAAGACATTACTTTTTTGAAAATCTCTCTCATTGTTTTAATAACTGCAGCAAATCCTACTGTGAGACTATAGTATTAGAAGATATGTTTTCTGTCTTTTTGGCTCTTGGCAGAAAGTAACCTGAAATGTAAAAATTAATGGTTGTTTACTGTGGCCATTCAGCTAGGCAGTGAGATTTTCTAACTTCACTCAGTTTTTATCAATGGTTATAATCTAAAGTTTTCTTTTTTAATGAACCCGAATTCCTCCTGCAATCAGTGAAATCCCTGTGTTCTGTCTCTCATTCATCCCTAAGTTCAGTTCAGTTTAGTCACTCAGTTGTGTCCGACTCCTTGTGACCCCATGGACTGTAGTACACCAGGCTTCCCTGTCCATCACCAACTCCCGGAGCTTACTCAGACTCATGTCCATCAAGTCAGTGATGCCATCCAACCACCTCATCCTCTGTTGCCCCCTTCTCCTCCCACCTTCAATCTTTCCCAGCATCAGGGTCTTTTCAAATGAATCAGTTCTTCGCATCAGGTGGCCAAAGTATTGGAGCTTCAGCATCAGTCCTTCCAATGAATATTCCAGACTGATTTCCTTTAGGATGGACGGGTTGGATCTCCTTGCAGCCCAAGGGACTCTCAAGAGTCTTCTCCAATACCACAGTTCAAAAGCATCAATTCTTCGGCGCTCAGCCTTTATAGTCCAACTCTCACACCCATACATGACTACTGAAAAAAACCATAGCTTTGACTAGACAGACCTTTGTTGGCAAAGTAATGTCCCTGTTTTTTAATATGCTGTCTAGGTTGGTCATAGCTTTTCTTCCAAGGAGCAAGCGTCTTTTAATGTTATGGCTGCAGTCACCATCTGCAGTGATTTTGGAGCCCCCCAAAATTAAGTCTGTCACTGTTTCCATTGTTTCCCCATCTATTTGCCATGAAGTGATGGGACCAGATGTCATGATCTTAGTTTTCTGAGTGTTGAG